GACCTTCCTCACAGGCCTGAAGATAAATTGGGGTTATGTTAGCATGACCTCTAGCACCAAAAATATAGGTTACCATTATTGCTCAGGGGATATGATTAATGAACACATAGGATTGCTGACTCACTTCAGGACGATAGAAAAAACATGTATGAAAAGCTTCTTCCAAAACCACCTTGTGATTGAAGGTTCACTTCAGGACTCATTAGTTATCTCTCCTGTGACAAACACCCACCCACTCCAGTAGAACAACTACAAAAATAACTATGCCGATATCCTTGACTCTGGCCATTGATGAGATGTTAATGTTACATGAAGCACAGATCACAGACTCTGCAGTGTTGGCAAGGATGCTGGGCAAGTCAGGTCAAATCCTCCCGAAATGAAGAATGGAAATTTGACGTTTTAGCTTTGGCCACAGGGCACTCACTCCAAAGCGTATTCAACAGGACACGCTTCTAAGGTGAAGGGAGAATTTGAACATAAGCAGCTCACCACAAGAGGCTCAAATACTCAATCAAGGCTGGGGAGATGACCCTCGCTGGCTGGCCAATCACTGCCAAGGGTATCCGAGAACAGTGTGGGCAATCATCAGTCTGTACTTACCATTTTCCTGTTACTTGAGTGCCAGGGGACAAGTCCCAGCCAGCAACACAAGGATGGGGTGGGGAGCAGGCCCAAGAAGTGGCCAGGTTCGGGACACAGACCGCCCCTTCCCTCCCTGAGCCCAGGCACCCACTTCAGGCAGACTACTGCAGCTGTCTTCTTAGACACTTACTTTGAAGAGTCGTCTAACCACCCCATCGAGCACATCCCACTTCGTCTTGCCACTAACTCCAATGCAGCCAATAAGAAAGAGGTGTGGTCTGGAATCCTAAGGGTAAGGAAATGTATGCAGGGGAAAAACAGGTGAATCTTTTTTGACACACGTTAGCAAGGACTCAGATTGCCTTAGAACTCCACCAATGGTTTGAGAGGGAAATAAAAGTCCTATTTGTTTTAACACCAGATTACGATTTAACTTAGATCGAATGCAACGGTCTTAAATCTTTCCCACTCCACTGCAAAAATACCAATCCGTGGGTCAGGAAAAGAGGATCTCCTCTCTGGAATCTAGGACCTTCTACCAAAGGTATACCTTGTGTAGGTGCGTAGATCACATCCCTTGCCTGGAATGCTTTCCCCTCTCCTATCTGCCATCTCTCCCTTTCCAAACCTTGCTTGCAAACTCACCTCTTCTAAGAAGCCTTCAATGATTAATCCACCAGGCTCAGAGCTGACATGCTTCAGTGGTTCCGTACGTAACTTATATATTGATATCTTCTATACTTGTTTATTTTTAGGTATCTATGTCTTACTTGTAAGTCAAGTTTGTCTCCTTGCCAAATCTTAAACTCCCTCAGGATAGAGTATGTTCAATTTTTGTCTTCTTTTTAAGAACGTGTATTGCTTTTCTGCTAATTAAAACATACTCGATTCAGAAAACAAAACTCTGGGAAGTTCATAAAAAAATACTCCTTTTCTCTTTCTTTTGAATTTGTGTGCCCAGGGCTCTGCATGGTCAGGGCTAACTAATCACGACAGTAACAAAAACTAATAGAACATTCCGTTTTGTTGGATTTTAAAATCTTAGATCTGACATGCTCATAAGGATACAGAAATATGAGGGTGGCAGCAGGGGGTGGGGGGACAGTGGCATATGTGGCAATTAAGCAAAATCATCAGAGAAAAGAGCACCGGCCTTGCAGTGAGAAGATCTGGCCTCCCCAGCTCCCTTGTAATCTTAAGTAAGTGATGCTCAGGCATTATGTTTCTCAGTTGTAAACTGAGGTGACATCATCTGGTCAACCAACTTCATCTGGATGCTGTGGTGATCCAATTTTTAAGAGGGACTCAAACTTTTGGGAAATGTACAATTTACCTGTTCATGTTGAGGACCACGAGAACGATGCAAATCCACAGGTATCCCCTGATTTTTTTTTTTTTTTTACAAGAATGTTCCAAGAATGGATTTTCCCCTGATAGTCCTATCACTAGTCAAGCTCTGAAAATGGAGCTCTTTATATGTATTGGATCTTTTTTAGGCTAGATGATGAGAAAATCACTGGCAGCTCCAAACTCTGGACCTATCCCCTCCCGTAAGACTCAAGGGCCAGCCACACAGCGGAATCCTCTGGCAAAGAAAGTCTGGCCGCACACGCTTTGTTTCGGTGGGCACTGTGGGTTCCCTAGCACTCCGAGACTACAAATAGTGTGTTGGCGAGAATGCTGAGAAACATCCAACAAAAAACTGAAGAGGACTTGAAATAGCGACTTGTGAAGTCTTTCTCCACTTATATGAGATGGTCATTTGGATTTAATCAGTGACTAAAAATGAACTTTGTCAACCCCCACCCCTACCCCAAAATAGTCCCTAGTGCGGGTGTGGCCTCCTCAGACTCTGGAAGAGAACAGAAACTCCTCAGAAAACTGAGATTCCTCAGCTTCGGGGAGTCAGGACGCCCCACTGGCTTCACTTTTAGCCACGTGTGTCACCGGGCCACCTCAGTCTCCCACGTTCTCCGCAGTCTCTGAACACCGGGCAAAACGGGTGCTCTCGGGTCAGCTGGGATTGGTCAGTTTGCTTCTGTGCCTTCTGTGCTCACGGTGCTTAGCTGCCTCAGAAGTGCTTTAGGAACACATGACCTCAGAAAGGCCATTTCTGACTGATGGCAGTGTTTAGTTGGTTCCGTGGAAAGGCAGCAGGGGAATATTTTTAGCACCTTTTATTAGACTTTGCAAACAAGAGAGGGAGGGAAGAGCCGTTTGCTCCCTTTAATTGTGTCAAGATGCTGCTGGGGATTATGGTTAGTGAAGGAAGGGGTTAGTAGTACTTCCAGATCACCTCAGGTGCTGAGGTGATCCGGTTTGACGATGACATCACTAAGCTAGGTAGTTCTACCTGGGGGAAGGGACAAGCAGAGCAGGGAAAGGGATCCAACTAACCTCCTTCCACTTCATTTCCTCCTGAAAGCTGACAACTATCTTAACATGCCTGCCTCCTTCCTTCCGAGCCGAGCATTCACCAGTGTCATCCAGCAACATGTCTGCGAATGGAAAACATCAACAGCCTTAGGCACATGGGGACAGCAAAGCCGGCTTCCTGACACCCCCGCTGCTTGTCCGCACGGCAGCGGGACAAACCAGGTGTCGGGGTGCGGGGAAGGGGGGAGGGCGGAATGGAGAATGCAACCACAGAAACCAACGGTGGACCGACCGAGGAGCCAGCAGGCTGACGATGTACCTTGCCAAATGGAAGTGCGAGGCAGAGGCTCAACCAAAACGACAGCAACGCAGCATCATGGGTAAGAAATCAAAGCGCCAGCCTCAATATGCTTACAAAGAAAACCTAGATCGTGTTGGCTAGTTACGGTGCCGGCCTGGAATCCATCCTGAAGGCGGGAAGACCGTATGTACACCAAGCCATTGCCCCAACTGGGACCTGCTACTACGGGGTTTCTATGCAGCATTCGGCTTGCAGGTCACAGCCTCTTCAAATGGATCAAACGGAACTCAACATGGTGGACGAGAGGATCCAAGCGTGTGGCTTGGAGAATTCGGGGCACTGGAGCAAAGCATGACAGCAGTCTAACGGCTGGGCTCATGTTGGTAGCAGACGCACACCCAGACACACACACACACCCCAAGTGCACACACGCCTGTTGCCTCTCCATTTGATCTGTTCACCTGCTTATCTCGGGGCTCTTGCTTGGAGAGTGGAGTGCCAGCTGCAGGCCCCGACCTGCCCCCAGTCCCGTGATGCCACTCACCCAGGCTGGTTGACTCGGTGAGGTTCAAGCTGTGCTGGGAGAGGCCCATGGACTGCCTAGGGGAGGCGGAGAGCGACACCTGGGAGGGCGCCCGGCTGCACCCGCTGCCTTGAGACTCCGACTTTAGCCGGTCGTTCTCAGCTTTCAGCTTCTCTATCTCACTCTGCGAAGAGTAAGGGAGAGGTTCACTTACTAGGTGGAGGTAACGCGGACGAGCCTTACTCTGGAGGAGGAATTGGAAGGTTCCCTGCAGGGATCAAGTGGGTACCCCAGCCGAGGCTGTCAGTCACACTGCCAGAGAGATTCGGCTGTGCTTGCTGTTTGCATATATACAAGACCTGTCTGGCAGGGCAAGGGCCATCCTTTCAGAGAGATGGCCTCTGAAAAGAACTCAGAAATGTTTCCCAGAGTCTGCTGCCCGAGTCCTAAGTGAAAAAGGGGCCTACAATCTAAGAGGTTTGAGTGACTCTGGGCTTGACAGGTGTCTTTCCTGCAGGACTCAGAGGCTTTATGAACTCCTCTGCACTGGGGAACTCAGAGGGGCACACAATAAGTAGCAACCCTCAACACAGTTGATCAAAGAGTTTTCCTTTCGCTGAGGCTCTCCTGGAACAAGTGTTCCATGGAACCCCCTTTGGAAGATGCTGTCCTCCAGTGAGGTCCCGTTTGGCAGAGCCCACAGGGCTCTTTCATTTTTATGAATATTTAGAGAAAACCCTACTATGTGCAAAGCATGGGTGCTACAGCCTGAGAAAGGGATGCAAAAAAAAAAAAAAAAAAAAAAAAAAAAAAAAGCTAAAAGACCCAAATGCCTTCCAATCCATGATGGAAGGCAAGGGGTTGTAAGAACAAATCTATAGGAATTCAGACGAGGGCACTAACGCTTCCAGAATGCAGGGCCTGGGAAAACTTTGCAGAGTAAGAGGCTCAACTTTGAGGAAAGGGTCCAAATCAGATGTGCAGAAAGAGATCCTTGTGGAGGGAACTAGATGAAACAGAAATCCCTGAGCAGCCAAAGGGAGCAGGGGCTCCCTCTGGCCATTGAGTTGAGTCTGGAAAGTAGAACTGTGAATAGGTGGGTAGTAGATTATGAGCAAAAAGGGGGGCGCCTGGGTGGCTCAGTAGACTGAGCATCCGGCTCTTGGTTTTGGCTCAGGTCATGATCTCACGGTTTGAGTTCGAGCCCCATGTCAGGCTCTGTGCCGGCAGTGTGGAGCCTGCTTGGGATCCTTTCTCTTCCTCTCTCTGCCCCTCCCCAGCTTGCTCTCTCTCAAAAATAAATAAATGAACTTGTAAGAGCCAATGGCAGAGCCACTGAAAGTTACACAAAGGGGAGATGCATGGTTCCTCCTATACCTTGAAAAGACTCATCTTTGGGCAATATCCGGGAGGACATGAAAAGAGGAGGAGCCTCGCTGCTTTGGAAAAGAAAGAGAAAAGAGAGAAAGAGGCTAGGAAAGCAGAGGGCTGCAACGGTCTGCAGCCCTAGCTTGGCAGAGAGCAGCCTCCTGCCACTCCCTCCCCAGACAGCCTTGGGCCCAGCCCATGCTCCCGGGCTCACCTGCATCCTGTTCATGGCCTCCCGGAGCTGGTCGAGCTGGTGTGCGGAGCTGAGGGCTTCTAGGCGGATGTCTGTCAGCTTCATCTCCTTGTCTCTCAGCTCATTTCGGAGCTGCATGACTGTCTCGGCTTCACTGTCCATGCACTCTGAAATTCTAGGGAAGGGGGGTGGGTGTTACTGATGAGAACAGCTCTGAGTTCATCTCCCTCCAGTCCTCCACTGACCACTGGTCCACATCCATCAGCAGGCCTGTGCAGCAGTGACCCTGTCTAACCATCTTCCCAGTGCTTCCTGGAGGCAAGAAGATCAAAGCACCTGAAATTCACATATTGTATTACCATCTTCCCTTGCAGAGCTCTGACACTCAGAATGGCTTTGGTGTGCCTTTCGACAAAGTTCCAATAATCTGGGATAAGCAGGAGCTGGCCAAAGGGAGTAGTAACCTTTGGGGCTTGAAACCACCCCCCCCCCCCCCCTCCAATGTGTACCCAGCTGGGCCCCTTTAATGACACCACAGGCTCCTTGAGATCTGAACCCACTCAGAGAAGGAAGGTCAACTGTCTGTTTTAAAGATTAGACACTCTAAGGTCAGAAAGCTGAGGAGTGATTTTTATTTGCCCCCAAATGAAAGTAACCTAAAGATTCCTGTGGAGGGAGTTAGTCTATTTTTGGTCACATTCTGAAACTCAGTCTTTTGAAAGTGTCTTGAGAGAACAACATTCCTTCCTTCCCCCACCCTTCCACACTGCTTCATAAGCTCTCAGCAAGGAAGGGAAACATCGTGCACAGTCAGCAGACAGGGTGATAGGATACAGAAGCCAGTTTTAGGTGAAAATTGAGCAACAGCGTTTTTCAGTGTCGTCCTTTCCACCCATATGCCATTATCACCTTCTAGGCTGGGTTCCCTATGTGATTAGTCAGGTTTGCTGTTCGGATACCTGGCAGGTCAGCACTAAGTGGAAGACCAAATCTCCATGTTAGAAAAGGTGGTTCTATGGAAAAAAAAAAAAAAAAAGGATGGTGATTTCAAAGATCATTGGTTCTGGGGTGAGGGGTGATCCAGAATAAGAAGCTTTGACATTTCTTGGACTGAAGACTGGAAAAAAAAAAAAAAAAAAAAAAGGACATGTTCCTAAAGTTACAAAGCTGAGGCTGATTATCTCTGAAAGATATGATGAACATGTGGTCTCTGCAGAAATAACTGTGCAGCCTGCTCTCCAAGACCAAATTCTGGATCTGAGGCCAAAAAAAGCCTGACCTGTAAAACGGGTTGAGGGTGTGGAAGTGTTCATTGCCAGGGGGAAACCATTTATAATCGTTGAAAGAAGTGTAATTGTATTTGGGGGGCAGAAAGGACTAGAAGAAAAATTTAACACCTGAATAGCCAAACTGTTCTGTTGTTATTTTCTTGACCTACACCTGAATGGTTTTCATTTGAGGGATGCAAAGAGAGGAAAACCACCTCCTACTTTTAGAAGTTGTCAGTAGCCAAGGGAGTTTCTTGGCTTTAAAATCTTCTAAAAACTCTCACTCCTGAAAATATTATGATCATTCCCATTCTATACCCATGACAAACCGAGGCCAACAGATCTGGGACTAAGAGGGCTAGAAAATGTCTCTAGAAATCAGATCTTGCCCCTCCCCCAACCCTCACCCCTCTCTGTGCTGTGAGTAGGCTATAGTTTGTAAGGTTTAACTAAATGGTCATGCCTTTCTGGTTTGCAAGGTTTGCAGTGGGAGCTTGCAAACACTAGTTTCTTCTTGAGAGAGGAGTACGGGTTCCTGGTTTAAATGGAGAGTAAAGTCTGAGCAAAATTCCATTGTGACACTCCAGGCTTCTCTAAACCACGCCCTGCACAGACTTGGAAGGCTCCAATTCACTGTAGAGAACAGTTAGCCTCCATTCACACCATCAGTCGGGTGCGTCTGGCGCTCCAGGGCAAGGCATTTTGCCCCAGTCTCCTTCACATGATCTGTACATTTTCCCCAGAAGCTTCCTCAACAAGACAGACAAGACTTCCTCAGCACCCACCCCTGTGGGCTGTATCACATGAGCTACCTTGTGAAGCTTGGCCAAGGAGAGGGGATGTCCTCCTACTTAGCACAGAGATGTTGAAAATTAAGGTTTTTTTTTTTTTTTTTAAAGATTTTGTTTTCAAGCAATCTCTACACCCAACAACGTGGGGCTTGAACCCACAACCCCAAGATCAAGAGTGTCATGCTCCACTGACTGAGTCGGCTATGTGCCCTGAAAATTAAGTTCTTCTGCAGCAGCCCCAGCTAGGTTTTAGTCTCTATCTATCCCTCTTGTCAAGGACAGCACTTTTTCCCTTGGTTCCTTCCATGCTAGACCTTTGTACATCTCTGATAATTTGGTTGCACTCAACAGGTTACCCCCTACATGGCTGGCTGCTCCAGGACCAGGGTTCTCTGCATCATTTCTGGTGTCTGATCACACTGATCAAATATAACAGGTGCTCAGTAAATTCATATGGAATACACAAATGACTATGCCAGGCATGTGAAGCGTATTATTTAGTTTACTACATCTACTAACAACTCCTTGAAGAGGTATTGCCATGATCTCCTTTTAAAAGGGGGGTGGGGGGGAGGAGTCCTAGAGATATTAACAGGCCCATTAAAAATGACAGAATCATGGGCAGCTGGGTGGCTCCGTTGTTTAAGTGCCCGGCTCTTGGTTTTGGCTCAGGTCATGATCTCACAGTTCATGAGTGTGAGTGCTGCATTGGGCTCTCTGCTGTCGGCACAGAGGTCGCTTTGGATCCCCTGTCCCCATCTCTCTCTGCCCCTCCCCTGCTCATGATCTTTCTCCCTCAAAAACAAATAAACATTAAAAAATAACAACAAGCCTCCCCGCTCCCCAAAATGACAAAATCAGGATCAAGTCTGGTGGGTCTACGTAACTCTAGAGCCCATGCTCCTGAATTATATCCAGCAGGCACTCAATACATGCTCATCCACTTCATGGACTACTTCCTGAAGCAACCTGATGTAGATTTTCTCCTACTCAGTCCCTAACATGATACTCCCAAATTTCCACTGTCTTGGCCCAAAGGCAGGGTTGGTGGCATACCTAATTTTAAATGCCTCCAGTATGGGAAACACTGCCTTCCCACGTTACCATTCCTTTCGCCCACAGGGTAGGAACTTTTCTGAGCCCCCTACCCCACCCTCCACTTCTCTGCCTCGGGTTTCTTCTTTGAACTTCCTCTCACATCTAGATTTGCACATTCTTACAAACCCTTCAAGGTTGGAAAGAAGCATTTGCTCTCTGCCCACCCTTTGGAAAACCAGACCCAAAACAAACATCTCCAGTGTGCATGGATGCTGTGGAATGTCAGAGAAGGTCAGCAGTGCCCAGAGTCTGCCCCACCCGATCCCTCCGGGGAAAGTGGTTTGGAGGGAGCCTTCTCGCAGTGGCCGCTGGGAGCGCTGCACAGCCCAGTGCGGCATCCTCTCTTTCTCTTCCTCATCCTCCCTGGCCACCCAGCAGCACTTGACCCTGCTACCAGAAGTTTCTTCTCTCTGCTTCTGTTTTCCTCCCACCTCCTCTCATCTCGCTGGCTGCTCTCCTTTCTCTTCAGAGCACCCAAAGTTCAGTCCTTGGCCCTCTGGCTCTTTTCCATCTCCATTCAACCCCGTAGAGAACCCTCCAGATTCCAGCTTTCAATACCACCTATGAGCCCATGTCCACCAGATCTACGCCTCCAGGAGTCCCAGGCTGGTTGGCATGTCCATGTGGATGCCTCCTGAGCAGCTCTGACTTCAAATAGCCAAACCAGAGCTCCTGATGCTCCCCCCACTCTGCCCCATCTGCACCTCTTACCGATTCAAGAAACAATACCTTCACATACCCAGGTACTCAAGTTGCAAACCTAGGAATATTCGAGGATTATTCTTCTCTTTCCCCTCACACTCCACATCACCATGTGCTGTCAACTTTCTTCTTGAACACATCTTAAACTCACCTGTGCTATGAATTACCATTTGTTTCACTTACGATCTGAACGTCTACAAATCCAATGGTATCTACCTCCATGCAGCTTATACTGTAGATTTTTGCGTGGCGGTGTGTGTGTTGGCAGAGGGGGGGGTACAAAAAACAAATAACCTGGGGCAATCTACACGTCAGGTGGTGGTATGTGCCATGGTAAAAAATAAAACAGGGGAAAGGGAGGTGATGGGGAGTGCTGGCGGTCATGGGGGCATTATTTTACACAAGGTGCACAGACAAGGCATTACTGAAAAGGTAACACTGAACAGAGACATGAAGGAAGAGAATATCTAGAGGAAGAGTGTACCAGGCAGAGAACAAAGAAAGGGCAAGGGGGTGTGATTAGAGTGCTCAAAGGACACGAACCAGGCCATCGTGGGGAGGATGAGGAGGAGAGTGCTATTGGCCTCTTATGTGGTTGCCCTTCCTCTCTATTCCTTATCTACAGGAAGGAGACTGATCTTTGTGAAACATGAATTCAGATGATCTTACATTCCTGCTTAAAACTCTCCAGTGAATGGGCTGTCTGGCTGGCTCGGTCGCTAGAGCAAGTGGCTCTTGAAGTCGGGGTCGTGAGTTCAACCCCCACATTGTGTGTACAGATTACTTAAATAAACTTCAAGAACAAACAAACAAAAGAAACCTCTCCAACGGCTGATAACCCATCACACATAGAAGCAGATGCAAATTTACTTTGACTTCAAAGTCTCCCGTGGTCTGGCCCTGCCTATCTCCATGGCCTCCTTTCTTACCACTTTCCTACTTCCTAACCATGCCGCAGCCACACTGGCCACACACTGGCCATCCCTTGTTCCCAGTCTCCACCTGAGGCTCCTTGCACTATCTGGGGCGAAGGCTGCCCTGCTCCCCACAGTCTATTTCCTTTCCCTCCTGGGTGCGGAGATTTCATTTCTTCCCTTGTGGGTGGGTGGGATGACCCTGTTCAGTGGACTGTGGACAGAGAGGACATGTGTCTCCTCTAGGTCTGGCCCATGAAACTCTCTAAGAGAAACCCCTCTTAGAAACCCCTGCACTCTCTCCCCTCCCCCACCTCACCTGCTGGCTGGACACAGAGCACTCAGCGAAGGACTCAGATCCAGTGGGATGGCTGGATCCAGATGGAAGGAGTCTTCCATGCAGGCTGCCCGACTCAGAACTGGGTTCTGAGCTTTGGGACTCCATGTATTACAGCAGCTAGGGTCACTGACCAGAACTAACCAACGGTCCCTCTTGTCTTGAAGATCTCAGCTGCAATGTCGCCTCCTTTCCGGACCATTCTGTCTGCAGTTGCTGTAGTACTCCGTATCCCAACACCCTATTTTAATTCCTAGCATTAACCTAACCCTGAGCTGTTTTCTAGTTTATTCAGATTTACTTGTTTGATGTCTGCTTTTCGCCCTGGTCTACCAGAACTGAACTTTATCCGTCTTGTACGCCCTTGTAACTGGTGACTGGCACAGAGCCAGAGCAGAAGCTCAGAAGTAAAACAGCTACGCTGGGTGGTGTCCCCGCTGGTCCCTAATCCCTAGGGGTGGGACTCTGGTGAGCATCACCTTAGGCCTCTTCAGAACATCTAGAGTTGTGCCCCGCTTACATGGGTTGTTACATACAATGTTTAAATCCACAAATAAGGAACAGGCGAGTTCCTTTTTCTCCTGGCCAGACAAACTGAGGTGCTCTGGGATGATGGCATGTGTGTCACAGGCAACTGGCCTCTTATTAACTTCTGAGGCACCTAGCGGGTCAAATAGGACTCACACTCTTGGGCATTTACCTAATTCTTTACACAAGAACACGGGCCTAGACGCACTGTGGCCCTGTCCTCAGTGGAGCTGCTCATCTAAGTAAAATGGAGACTCCCCAACAGAGCCATACTTCATGGGTGGGTGGGACTGCTAAAAACTCAAGGCCTTAGGCTGCTTTCCTGTCTTCCACTTTCTGTCTTCCACGGTGACCACGTGGCTGGTGCGCTGCAAAGACCTGGCCGAGCCCCCTGCTCACAGGGCATGCACCCATCTGGTAAGCTGGCCTTCGGACACTTATGCAGGCTGCTGTCATCAGCAGGTGCTGCTGTCTTCAGCTCCGGCGGCTGGATGGTTAAGCGGACTTAGAGTCAGCACCACATACCTGGCTTCCTGAGACTGAAGGAGAAGAGGAAGGAGGCCCTTTAGGCACAGTGTCTGACTAGGCCCTCACGAGGATCCAGGGAAGCAGATGTAATTAATCTCCTTTTTACCAATGAGGAAACTGAGGTGTCTACAACGACCCACTCCCTTGTCCAACCCTAGCTCAGTGGCTGTTTGGACCCCAGCCACAGCAGCTCTCTTCTCCTGGGTACTGGCTCATCTTACTAACAGTACCGCAAACCACACAAGCTCCAGGTCTTTCACTCTTGGCCTGGTATACTCATGGTCTCTAAGGGAATGCAGTCCTATGGGGCAAGGGTAATCTTTCTCACTATTCCAGGAGCTGACACCTGCGTCCCCACTTGTCCATCCCAAGCCATTCCTGACGCACTTCTGTCTGTGGAGTCTGGGCCTTCTGTTATTAGATGGGGCACAGGACTGTCTCCCTATACCTCTGATGGAGCAATGATCAGTGGGTGCTCTGTGGAAATCATGGGAGGTTGGCGACTCTTCCCTTCTACCTACCTAGTTGCCAAGGGGAATAGCAGAGAAGCCAAGGTCACGTGAGCAAACGCCTATCTCACTTAACAGGAGCAGCGGCGCTCCCGAGGAGCTCTGTACGAACTGACTCATCTAAAATTTACTACCCGTAGATTTCAGTTAATCAGTAAACCACTCAGCCATCAAAAAGAATGAAATCTTGCCATTTGTAATGACGTGGATAGAGCTAGAATGTATTATGCTAAGTGAAATAAATCAATCAGTGAGAGGCAAATACCCTATGATTTCACTCATATGCAGTGGGATTTAAGAAACAAAACAGATGACCATATGGGAAGGGAGGGAGAGAAGAGATGGAAACAAACCACAAGAGACTCTTGATGATAGAGAACAGAGGGTCGACAGGGGTAGGTGGATGGGAGATGGGCTAGATGGGGGATGGGTATTAAGGGGGGGGGGGACTTGCTGTGATGAGCACTGGGTGTTGTATGTGATGATGAATCGCTGAATTCTACTCCTGAAACCAATACTGCACTGTATGTTAATTCACTAGGGGAGTTCATGGAGACGAATCATTTTACCAAAGATAGAACCCTTTAGTAAAGACAATTGTCACCGAGTCGTCTCCATTTTTTTTTAACTTCCAAATGCTGAGTGTTGACCTTGGAGAAAAGAGTCAACACCAAATTTTGATCGCAGAAGAATGGCATCATCTCTTTACGCTCTGTCACGAAAATGAACTGGAACTTCAGCAAAAACTGTGAACACGCGTAACACCATCTTTCCTCCCAGTAAGATGGTTGTAGTTCTTTCCCATCCATTTATCTCGTTCAATCCTTAGGACAGGATAAGTAGCCAAGAACCATTATCCTACTTTGGCAAATAAAACAACGTAAACAGAGAGGTTAAGCAACTTGCTCATGGCTGCTACAGCAACGCCACTGGGACAACGGAAGATTCCTTTCTCTTTCAACCTCTCCAGTCCTGAAACATTGGTGGAAAATGCCCAGTCCTATGAAACACAACATACAAGACCCCAAGGGGCAGATGTATCCTAACAGGACACTTAACCCTTCCTGTTTGAGGGAGTTCCTAGAGGCCAAAGGCATCATCAGCCCAGCGTGTGTCCCTGACAGACAGACTTACAGGGAGTTGGAGTGAGAGCCCCTCAGCAGCGGAGTGGAACCCGTGGAGCCATTGTGTGGTAACTTTGGCGAGGAAGGCAACGAAGAATCTGTCATCTCCTCGATGTCTGAATGAGAGGATGCAGACTTGGGGGACTTCTTCTTCCCGAAGGCTTGCTTGAAGGAGCTGCGTAACTGAATATCCGAGACTGTCAGCCTGGCACGGGCTGCCACCCAACACCCAGGCCTCGGCAACACAGAGACATGCAGACAAAAGAGCAATTAATTCTCCCACGACTC